TTTCGTGTGATTTTTATATTTAAACTATGATTGCACATCAGATTGTTCCATTTAAATTTTTTTGACAGATCTTTTTGCAATTTTAGGTATTCAATTTTTATTTTGTGGTGGTTTGTTAATTATTAAAATTTACACTTTCTTACTTAATTTATTAGTCGCTTAAATCACCTTGTCATAATTTCTTAACGAATTGGTGATTATAAAGCAATAATATTCGTTATCTAATACATGATTTAATCGTTGATGGGTAGCATTTAGAGTCTTATCAGGAATTTTTCGTAACAAAACAATCCAGAAACAATACAAACGGTTATTATAAATATACTTTGTATTTACCTTGTATCAAGTACAATAAAATCCAGAATAGTTTAAAAAAGATTATTAATCTTATCTCTAAAACGAGTCAATGGAACATCAACGTTGTTCGTCTAGATAAACACAAAATACTGCAGTTGGAGGTTGTACTGTTTAAGATGTTTTTGTCAAGTTTTGAAATATGTGTTATAACAGGTGTAAACAGTAAAAATATTTGATAAAAAATATGTTAAATCATGATTTTCATATCATCGATTGTTTCTTGACAGTGTGGGTTTCATAATGAGTAGTTTCTGTATGTGCGCAAGTATGTATAAAGGACAAATTTTTAAGGTAACTAGTATTTTAATATTATATTTATATTTGCAAAAGTTCGAAAAAAGTATCATAGAACTTTACTGTCGCACTACAGTGCCTTGAGGATGATTAATTCTTGTCAAAACCGTCCTGCCTTTATGGCTGTATATGCCAGGGTACTATTAAATCCTTAGGAACAAACAATGCATCATTAGAGACGATTTTACTTATTAATAATACTTTAGATGCTTGTAAAATATCTCTCAGATCGTCTAAAATTACTCTCAAGTCTTGTAGTCACTGTTAGAATCGTTCAAACGTCATTAGGTATTTCGCAAATCAGCCAAGAATTTAGGTCATTCTCTTAATTTCATATAATGGTTAAGTGCTTCCTTAGTTATGCCTTGATCTGTTCGTACATTGTGTTCACTTCTACGTCTTTTCCGACGACTCTCCTGTCTCTAGACACATCATTCCTATGTCTATAGAATCACTCACTGTCTAGAATAAATCCCCCTTTTGTATTCAACAGCGATAATCCTCTACAAATCTGTCTAATACTTTCATGTGTTTTTTTTTCAGCGGTCCGAACTTACGGCCCTTTACAAATAAAATCAGTATCACCGTCCGTCCTACTAATGTTTATAATAATTGGTTGAATATCATCATCCATCATGTTGTCGTGTCTCCACATGTCCGTTTCTTCTGCTATAATGTGTTTTATATCATTTTTCCATTTTTCTTGGGTAACTTGTGAGTACGCTTGCGTAAATAACTTCCTAACTTCTTTAAAAGCTTTGTTGTGTGCGGCAATATATCTTTTCACTTCGCTCCATACCAGTATGGGGTTACTCCATAACTCTATGGGGTTTAGCTCACAGTAATAGGGCGAAATTGAGTTGTTGTGTAATATCTTCTTTTTTATATATCGATCGTAATTTGCCTTATAACTGTTTACAACTTCCAAAAGTTCTGTTTTTAAATATATTTTTTTAAATACATCTTTCTATAGAAGCCATGTTTTTATTTATTTTTTATTGGAACTTTCTCCAATTTCCTTTAATGAAAAGGAGCATTATCTATCGCCACAACTGTTTTTTCTGACAAATTAGGAATTAGGCTGTTTGAATCACTTTTTGTTTGAATCAAGAGTGGACTATCCATTTTGTCATGGTAATCTTGGGTGTTTTTCTTTGCCACAAAAGTCAGTTCTGCTCCATTAAAAAAGCAATTATCACATCCTGTGTGTGTTTTCTATTCCTAATAACTAATTATGAACCTAGTAAAATCCCATTATTCATTATGGCAGTCATTAAAAAGAAATTGTTTACTATCCATATCATTACTAAAACTCCATTTCTTCTAATATATACTAAAAATCTAATTTTGTGATGGAATTGTTGAGAATCTCTGACTGCATGATGTTCGTACGGTTGTGCCATGAAGAGCAGCAACGTTGTCAAGAAAATTCTCATTTAGTTTTGATGGCCGTACCCTTCGGACCCTGCATCGCACGTCAGAAATACGCTACAGGTGCCTACAAAATCGGTGTAGTGTCTTCTTCCTCTTCTTCACTGACTTTACAACTCGGTGTGAGTCTTCGCCGCATCCACTATCACCCTCCATCCTCTACGATCTTGCGCTTCTATTTCCCATTGTTGTACCGCAATTCTAGATAAATCGGATTCAACATCATCCTTCCATCTTTTTCTCGGTCGGCCTACTGATCTTCTACCATCTGGTTTTTAAAAAACACTGTCTTTAACACTCTGTAATCCTTTGAACGTACCACGTGACCTGCCCATCTTATTCGGTTTGCCTTAATATGTCTAACTATGTTTTCAGTTGCACATAGACTTATCAATTCAGCATTGCAGCGTCTTCTCCAATCCCTTGTGAATTCATCTCTTTGAGGACCAAATATTATTCTGAGAACCTTTCTTTCAAATACTAGAAGCTTATTGATTTCCCGCTGGTCGAGAGTCCATGTTTCACTGCCATATGTAATAATTGGGCGAATAATCTACTTTTACAGTGTTAATTTAGATTTTCTTTTTAGCAGCTTCGATCTTACTAATGTTGAAAGGGAGTATAATGCTCTATTTCCCGCAGCTATCCTTGCTGAGATCTCTTTTTCTATGTTGTTGTCAGCTGTAATTATCGCCCCCAGGTATTTAAACTTCTTTACTACTTCGAAGTTGTGATCATTAATTCTGATGTTCTGCCTAACTATTGGTCTTGGATTTTTCGTTACTACAATGAAATTTCGTCTTTTCTTCATTTATTCGGAGATCCAGACTACCTGTTTACTCCTCGAGCTGTAAAAACACTTCTCTTACGTCTCTTGTAGAATGCGTGACTGCATCTATATCATCAGCAAAGGCCAGCAACAGTTTTGATCCTTGATCAGCAAATCCTCCTGCCAGCTCAGACGATATTTTACTTATTGCATATTCTAAAGCAAAATTGAATAGCAACGGTGACAAGAGGTCTCTCTGCCTAAGTCCTGAATTTATACCAAATGGCATCGATGTTCTGCTTCCTATCTTCTGCGCAAGTAGCATATGAGTGTGTCACGCACATTTGCGTTAGTTCAACTAATTTTGATCTAGTGTCGCTATCTACTTTTAAAATCGTTAATACGTCTCTAACTACATCCCATATCCGTGGCAAGGTGGTTATTGTCTTAAGATCCGCGGTCTTAGTGCTTCTAATATTAGTTTTACGTCTCTTCCCAAAATTGACACGCGAATCTAGGTATTGTTATTTATTATTATGACGTCTACGGTTCTAGGTATTGTTATTTATTATTATGACGTCTCTCTGTACTTTTAAAATCACTCATATGTTTCTAGCTATCTTACACTCATTACTGTCTCTAAATAATATTATGTCTCTAGTACATCACTAGATACTTCCCAAATTGGGCAAAAGGGTCTTGGTGATATTCTTATACCTTAGTCTTAGATAGTCTACAGGTGCTTTTAAAATTATTTATGTGTCTAAGTACTTTTAAAATCAATCTTAAGTACTATTTTAATCACTCATACTTCACCAGTTCCCATTTTCTCTAGGTGATTTTTTAATCGTGCACACGTCTATAGATAGATCTAAATCAATATTTTGTCTCTAGATACTTCTTCTCTTCGTCTTCTTCTTCTTAGCCTTCTGTCGTCCATATTTGGACATAGGCCTCTCCCAACTCCTTCCATCGGTCTCTATCCTGAGCAACATATTTCCAATTTGTTCCGGCTATTCTTTTAATGTCATCAACCCATCTCATCTGTGGTCTTTCTCTTGGTCGTTTACTTTCGTAAGGTCTCCAATGTTGTATTGTAGTATTCCAACGTCGGTCTTTCTGTCTAGCAGTGTGGCCCGCGAAGCTCCATTTAAGTTTGGCAATTTTTGTTGTTATGTCCTCGACTTTTGTTTTGGATCTTACCCAGTCGTTCCTCTTTTTATCTGACAGTCGTATACCTAACATTGCTAGCAGATACTTCTTAAGATAATTTATATGGCTCTAAGTACTTTTAAAATCATTCTTGTGTCTGTAGGTACGCAACATCTTACGCTTACGTCTTTTAAAATGAATATTGCGGCCCTAGTTACTTTTAAAGTTACTTTTACGTCTAGTAAAATGTCTGCCTTTAATACGAGTAATATATTCTAGTACTTTTAAACTCGTTCATCGTTCTAGGTATCTCTAAAATCACTTCTACGTTACAATCAAATATTGCACATGTTAAGGTAGTTCTTTTAATGTCATTTTATGTTTTCTCAAATGACTGTTATATCTCTACGAGCCTTTAGAATTACGCTAGGTGCTGTTTACTGCTAGGTGCTACAAAATTTGTATGATTCTAGGAACTTTTAAAACTATTTTTACATAGTTGAAAATGAGTCCTACTACTTGGACACTTACTTAGGTTGAAAATGAGTACTTTTACAATCACTGTGACGTTTTTTAAAATGACTGTTGGGGGCCTTAAAATAAGTCTTATTATAAGTCATGTGTCTAGGTACTTTTAAAGTCTCTCATATATCATTTAAAATAACTCATTCGCCTCTAGGTGTCTTTAAAGTTCTTATGTCTTTAAGTACGTTTAAAATCAGTCTTAGGCTTCGTTCATAACGGATATCACCGCATCGTATCCTGCCTAGAGGATAGCATTGACAGTGAACGCTCGCACTTAAAATAATGCATTTATATCACTTATCGATCGATAGTGATACGATCCTGTGGTCGGAGTGAGGGTCCACTTATGTTTCTAGGTATTGTCACTATGATTCACATATTTCTAGATACATTACTACTTTCAACATGAGTGTTACGTTTCTAGGTACTGTTAAATATTGTGAACCCGTTATGAAATAATCATTTATTTTAGGCTTAAGCAAATGCAAAGGGCTGCATCGATAGAAAGGAAAATCGTTCTTAAAGAACAGAGGAATCTAATCCGACAACAACTTTCTACAGACAATATGATGTCCAAGATGAAAGTGCATAGTTCGAGGGAAAGGAGATTATCCGGACCTTTAAAGGTAATTACGAGCGTTAAAGCAATTAACAATTCTTCAAATAGACAATTTGCTTTTATTTTAATTTATAACTATTTTACAGGTTCTTCAGAGTCACACAGAGTTCATAAGGTCCGAAACGTCGGTTACGAAGAGAAGCTCTAGCGATAAGGAAAAGCATAGCGATGTCTTCAGCATTACGTCACATCAGTCGATGACTCATTCAGTAGTCTCAGAAATATCAGAAGTCGAAGTGTCTTCCAAGGATTTACCATCGAGGGAGCAACAGAAACACATTAAAAGGTGAGTTGTAAAGTGATTAGTTCAAAATTTTTATTCAAATTCTCCATTAGACGAATAGCTACATCTTAGTCTCTGAACAAGTGAAAAATTTGTACGATTATTACCTGAAACGTTGTTTAAGGGGTTACATAGGTCTTATCTATTCGTATAGGTCGTATTTTCAAAAATTCGAGCAATATTACCGGAGTTATACAGATTTGAATACCGTTCGGTCGATTTGTGCGCTTTAAGTTTTTTTAAACTTTCAAAACGCTTTTTTTTTCGAAACTTTGTTTTCCGTGCAATTGGCACGATTTCTCGACAATGAATCGATGGATTTTGCTGAAACTTTGCACAGTTCATCTTTATAGTATCGTTTCGTGATTAAACGAAGGGACTGAAAATAAAATCAAGTTTTTAAATAAGTGTGAATGAGTTTTCGTCTCATTCACACATTTTTATTAGCATTTTTCCGATTCTCATCGTTTTTAAAATATTTTTTTCGTATAAAACAAGAACGACTCGACCGATTGAAAATTCCTTCGTTCAATCATGACACAATACTATAAAGATGAACTGTGCAAAGTTTCAGCAAAATCGATCGATTCCTTCTCGAGAAAGCGTGCCAACCGCACAGAAAAAGAAAGTTTCGAGAAAAATTGGTTTGAAGTTTTTAAACTAAGAGTGCACGTACTGACTGCGCGGTATTCAAATCTCTAAATTCCAGTAATATTGCTCGAATTTACTTTAAAGTTGTCAAAAAAATAAATCAATTTTTTTAAAAACACAAGATATATGTCTGTAACTCCTTAACCTTTTCATTACTGTGGGGACATATTATGTCCCAGCGGATTTTCAAAAAATCTACTGGCATTTGTTTGTCCCCAAAGCCCATGTTATTTGAACGCATCCGTATTTTTAGACATTCCTTACTTATTACTTAGTAGTATACAACCTACATATTACGTTTATAACCTAAAAATTGATGTTCTAAACATGCATCTAAACACTAAACATGTGCATCAAGAACTCGTAAATAATATAAATGTTAGTAAGGAAAAAGTGTCCGCTCTGCCTTTTAACAGATTATATATAATTCAGTTGCCGATTAACACAGGTTAGTGATATATATTGTTTATTTTTGATATTGTTTTCATTGATTTTACCATAATTTCTAAACGGGACACTAGTGACCCAGTAGTAGTTTATACCGGGTCGTATTTATCCCATTCGTATTGTTTGGTTACATACTTACTATGGCACGTATACGTTTTCTAACACAAAAAGAGCTTCAAGAAGAAATTGACAAACACAAATATTTCTGAAAATAAATCCGAGGAAGAACCTTATGCTGCCTCAGAGTCTAATTATGTGCTTGATGACGATTCTGCCTCAGATTCTGATGAAGTACCTGAGAACACTACTGATCGTTGGATGTAAACACTACTGCTTCCGAGGAAGAAAGTTCTGATGACGCGGAATTATCTGAAGATGAGTCTGAAAGAAATGAATTGACTGCACTTTGGAATATACCAAATACAAACTTTTGTCCGAAAAAAGAAATTCCTACTCAGAGAAATGGGATAACAACACTAAATATTGATAAAAGTTCTCGTGCTGTTGATATTTTTCCAAAATTATTTCCGCGTAGTTTATTTATGTATAGGTATTTCTTCCTGTACAAATCAAAGAATAGCAGCACTCGCAAAAAACAGAAATTTAAAATTAAATACGAAAGAAACAGAACATACGAAATGATGACACTCATTGGTTGTACTATGGTTATGTGTTACAACAAAGTACCATCTATTCCACACTACTGGTCACAAAACGAATCACTTTCGAATTCCCTTATAAAAAAGCTTATTTCAAGAGATCTCTGTTTATTCCTGCTATCTAAGTCCTACTATAATAAATCCTGAATGAAATGGTAATACATCAAAAACATACTATATCGATGGTTTCTTGTTTGAAACACACTTTTGTAAAAGCGAGGACTGAGAGTTCCCATCAGTCCATCGAAGAATCAATGACTAAGTTCAAAGGAAGATCTGCCTTGAAGCAGTATCTTCCTATTCTTCTTCTTCAAGTTCCACTCCTATCGGAGATTGGAAATCATTCTGGCAATTATAATTTTATTGGTTACTCGCCTGAATAGTTCAATTGAACTGCATCCAAACCACTCACGGAGATTGCGTAGCCACGAGATTTTACGTCTTCCTACGCTTCTTCTACCTTTGATTTTACCCTGCATTATATTCCTTAGTAGTTCGTACTTTTCACCTCTCATGATGTGCCCCAAGTATTCCAATTTCCTGATCTTTATGGAATTTAAAACTTCGCATTGTTTTCCTAGTTGTTCGAGAACTTGTTCGTTTGTTTTGCGATCCATCCATGATATTTTCAAAATGCGTCGGTAACACCACATTTCGAATGCTTCTAGGTTTTTAATGTTGGATTTTTTAAGTGTCCAAGCTTCAACTCCATACAAAAGGGTAGAGAAAATATAACATCAAAGCATTCTTATCCGGAGCGATATATTGATATCGCGATTACAAAAAAGTTTTCTCATTCTATTAAAAGTTGACCGCGCAATTTCAATGCGGCATCTTATTTCTTTTGTCTGATCAGTATCTTCTGTGATCCATGCTCCAAGGTATTTGTACGAAGATATTTGTTCAATTTCTGTATTATCTAGTACTAGCTTAACTTTGATGTTTTGTGCTTTTGTAAATACCATGAACTTGGTTTTCTTCAAATTGATTTTTAGTCCATAGTCGTTGCAATATATATTTAGTTGTTCAGCAAGGTGTTGCAGTTCTTCTAGTGTTCCTGCCAAAAGGACGGTGTCGTCAGCATATCTTATGTTATTAAGTGGCTCACCGTTTATTATAAGGCCCTCACTGATCTCGGCAGGCGCTAATTCTGAGATGGCTTCACTGTATAAATTGAATAACAAGGGTGATAAAATACACCCTTGGCGGACCCCACGGCGAATCTGGATATCCTTGGTCAGTTCGTTTTCAACTTTCACTTTTGCTGTTTGATTCCAATAGAGGTTACAGATGATTCTAATGTCTCTACTGTCTATGTTTTTATTTAATAAAATTTCTATAAGTCGATTATGCTGCACTCTGTCAAATGCCTTCTCAAAATCAATGAAACAGGCATATACTTCCTGATTAATATCTAAGCATCTCTGCCAAAGAACACTTACTGCAAACAGTGCATCTCGTGTTCCCAGTCCTTTCCTAAATCCCATTTGTGTATTACTTATGCCTTCATCTAATTTCTTATGTATTCTATTGTGAATTACTTATAAAAACAATTTCAAGACATGACTCATTAAGGCTATGGTGCGATGTTCATTGCACTCCTTTGCATTGGCTTTTTTGGGAAGCAGTATGAATGTTGATTGGAGCCATTCTTTAGGTATTATACCTGTTCTATATATGGTATTGAATAGATCCAAAAGAAGATCAATAGATTCAGTATTCACAATTTTAAGTAATTCGATAGGAACTTCATCAGGCCCGGGAGATTTACCATCTTTAGCTTGTTGTATCTTCCTATAAAGCCAGTAAAAAGAGGTATAAAAATGTGGCAACGAAGTGACTCTTTCACAGGTTATATAAACGATTTCAATATATACTCAGGAAAAGAATCCACACCAACTACTGGAACTCTAGGAGAACGAGTTGCTGAAACTCTAGCCAACACCATACGGTCACCAGTTGTGTGTCTATGCTTTGATAGATTTTTCACTTCGTTCAATCTACTAAATACCCTAAATTTTCCATGCTTAGGAACCTATCTGGCCAATCGGGTAAATGTAGTTAAATTTGATAGTAACAAAATGTTAAGAGGACATGGAGTTTTTAGTTTCATCCGAAGGAATTTTAGCAACTAAATGGAAAGACACGAAGGAAGTTATGCTAATGCCCAATTGTCACAGTACAACTATTGGAATTATCAACAGAAAGCTGAAAACTGGAAAGCTGAGTTCACTTGACCAGAAGCAATTATTTTTTACAATAATTTTATGGGAGGAGTAGATCTCGCCGATCAAAACGTTAGCACATTGATATGGACCGAAAATCTGTGAAATGATGGAGAAAAGTTTTTTATAGATTAGTCATGTACGCTATTGTAAATTTTTGGATTATTTACTAGGATCTGCATAAAAGAAGTGTACAAAAAGATAATACGAAATTTTCACTTTTGAATTTTCTGGTGCCACTAGCAGAACAGCTAATTGAATTAGGAAGATCGAAATCAAATGTAAAAAGACGAATAACTGGCCGTTCTGGAAGAATATCTAAACGACACAAACATATGATCAATATCGGAGACCATTTGCCTATACCTACTAGGTGAAGGTGCTTTAGATGTTCAAAAAATAAATCATTCATAGAAAGAATGTTTTTTTTGTAATGTACCTTTTTTCATTTTGAATATAAGTCTGTTTTTTTACTGATGGGATTTATTTATCCCAGCATTCAACACGAATGGGACATATATGTTTTATGTCCTTTCTAAGGATACAAGGACACGCAACAATGTAAAAAAAATTCAATCGCTTTGTTAGTTCTCCAACTGCTGTCAACGAATATCTTTAATGTTAAATTTTAAACTGTTTTATTTCGCTACAATGAAATCAGTAATGAAAGGGTTAAATCAACATTGTTCTTGCTTTGTTAATTATGTATCAGTAATAAATGATGATCTGTATTCTTAGTTCTATAATAATTCATCAGTTATAAAAGAAGTTATAGTGTGCCAAGTACTTAGGAGTGTCGTAGTGTTCATTCCGTGAAAAAGTTTATCGTTATTATCTTAATTAGCTTTAATTGACAATATTATTGTCGTTGGTGGTTCTCTAATTATTTTGTTACGGACTTATTTACACTCAAGTAGACGTCGACTGGTTGAAGATGGTCAGGAGCGTACTAATCTTTTTAAATCGGGTAGGGCTGTAATTTTAATCGTCTTTCTGAAACATAATTTTGAAGCAACTAAGC